TAGCAAACTTAAATATGGTACGATATCTCCCCCTTCGAATATTAATTGACGTATTTTTTTGTTTTTTGTAATAATCAGTCCTTCAAAAGTTACTTAAGGTGGATACTTTTATCTGAAAAGCACTGTATATTGCCTCTCATCATAACTGGACTAAGCATACAAGTAAAGCATTGAATGTACATTTAAAAATAATCTATTTTCTACACCCGTATTATAATAATGCACTTATATGCCCATAATCCGTTTCATAATGATACCCATTATGATACAGATTTTTCATTACGATACAGATTTTTAATCAATAGAAACCTACAATTTTTCAATCAAGCATGCTGTTTGACGTTTGTCCTAGGTTCCTATGTAATTATTTTAGTTGTCAAAACGTATTAAATTTTCGTAGGTAGCTAAACTTCGATAATTATAATATTAAAATGTCTGATATTAGCGATATAGAAGACTCCTCCACACATATCGGAGAAAGCAGAAAATACAGTACAAAATATTTTACCGCAAAAATCTAGGGAAATACCAATACCTGAAGTAATACCATTAATTACAATTTTGTAGAATTTTTTATAGAAATACGAGTAATTACTGTTATTGTGTTCAATACCAATATAAATATAATATTTATAGGGCTTGATTATTTATCGGGTGTAGAAAAAATAGCGTATGCAACTCTCATGTAATGGTTATTAAAACACTCGCATAAACCATACGAAACTCGCCTTTGGCTCGTTTCGTATCCCGGTTAATGCTCGTGTATTAATAACCATCATTACATGATCGTTGCATAATATACTAATTTTGCACTCATAGAATCATTATTACGTTATAGGATCCTTTCTTGGAAAGGTGTTTTACCTGTTTATGCAAAATTGTCCTGCAAAAAATATTACTAATAATATTATGTAATTAAATAATCAGAAATTCTCTTCGATATTAGGAAGTTTTATATGTACTCCAACAAAAACATTTAAGAAAGAAATATCACAGCGGTGTTTGACCTAAATATAAGTATAGGATATTTAATTTTTTTTAACGCATATCTACAAAACACATTTATTTTTCAAACCTTAATAATTTGTAAAATGTAGTTTAATAAAGATATTGTCATAATAAATACGTAAAAAAGTCAATATCTTTTTTTAATACATTATTGCTTTGATTTTTCAAATGAAATCGCTCTATAAATTATCCCAAAAATATTTTCCTATATTTATCCCACCCAACATGCAATTTTAAAGTAAAATTTATTCACATAAAAAAACTTTTCGCAATTCGTTAAAATGAGAGAAATCGGTAAATTTAGATAATATGCAAATGCGAATTTATTATTTTCTTTTCTACGTCCCTTTATGACAGTACGTCACTGGTAGACCGGAAAAACTTGTCGCCATATTTGTCTAGTTCACTGTCAATACCATCGCGATTTCAAGGTCGTTTAGGATTCCTCCTTCCTGACTATATAAGTTCTAAGCTTGCATCATATCAGTGGTCCAAGCTAGACATGAATTCTGTCACCTTCTTATTGCACAAGAAGTATTTATAATGGTAATTTAGATACCATAACATGTGACAGCCGACCGATCAGCTAAAGAGGCTTCTTTATTCAGCTATACAAATATATGAAAAACTTCTTCAAAAATATTATTAGAAGATGGAAACCTGTAACGGTTGGAACGGAACCGTTATTTCGTTATTTTGGATATAATCACATTTTACTCAAATATCATTTGTCATCTATGCTTTGTGTCAGAGGAGGTGACATTTTGATTTCAAAGACAGCGACGAATAGGTTACTTATATTTTGATTAATCTCGGTCATCCGAAGTATTAAATTATATTTATTTATGTTAATGACCGTCTGATTTTATAAGCCGATGGCTTTCTCTAGACGATTCAATCACTAGACGTTTCCGGTTCGAATACAAATAGGAAACATTTATCTTGAAGATTGTTCGAGTTCGAATACAAATAAGAATTATTTATCTTGAAGATCGTTCATGGTTCAATCACGGAGGAGATTTATGAATAAAAATCCCACACCACTTGGTAGAAGTTGCCTGACTGGTATATAATGTTTGGAGATTAATGTACCTCTGTAGTTAGCGACGAAGGAAGAAATACCTGATTTTACCTTTAACTTCCGTATATTACCTTATTTACCTACAGATATGTGCAATTGATTTTAATCAATAAATTGTTTTAAATTTGAATTATGTGCAAACTTATGTGAATTAGAATTTGATACCTACCTTATCTAAGGCACCTTTTAAGTATAATTTGTTAATGGTTAGTGCTTTTCTATATTTTTATCACTAATCTAGAGTTAAGTGTATATGCTTTAAATATAGTGGTGCCCAACTTCTTTTTCAAAGTTATTCGAGTTATTTAAAAACGCCCTATAAATTGAGCTCAAACACATACAGGGTGTCTGTAAAAGGTCTTTACAAAAACATACGACATATTCCTTAGATCAAAATAAGTCGATTTAAGTAAAATTACCTTAGTACAAAGTTGCTTCGTTTGGGCTCCAGAGGGCCTTGAAGTTACAATTTTTAAATCGTTTTTCCCATATAAATTTAAAACGGCATATGCGATTTTGCTGAAATTTGATATATTGGTAGAGTTTTATGTGGCAAAAAAAATGGTATTAAAATTTTGTCCGATAATAATACATAGGCGTAGAACTTGATTTTTTAAATAATTGCACCTTTAAAAATTCTACGCCAATGGAAGAAAAGGAGTTTGAATATGAAATTTAGATTGCGCAACTCATTTACTTTAAAAAAGGTACTCTTGATAAGACTCGATTACTCTCATGGTTTTGACGAAATTTGCATTTTAGTAATTTTAGAACATAAACAATAATTATTAAAATACAAACTTTGTCAAAACCATGAGAGTAAATCGAGTGTTATCAAGAGTACTTTTTTGTAGTAAATGAGTACCCAATCCAAATTTCAGACTCAAACTCCTTTTTGCCATTGGCGTAGAATTTTTAAAGGTGCAATTATTTAAAAAATCAAGTTCTACGCCTATGTATTATTATCGGACAAAATTTTATATGAAGAAAAACATAAAAATGTACTTTTTCCATATCTTCTTCAACACCTCTAATCGAGACTTTTAACAAAAATACTCGATTCTTGCCATGTACAATTTTTTGAGGAATATTAATTATTTGCTTGCAATACGTACCTATACAAAAACATTTATTGTTGGTTTCCATAGTTTCATCTAAATAAAAATATTGTCAAGTTTTAACACCTAATCTCTTGTTAACGATTGAAAGTGTTCTATCTGACTCAATAATTAAAAAAACAAATGCGTGGTTTATTAATATGGCTGTACAATATACCAATGCAGAATATACCGATATGTTACTGACATTAGGATTTTGTGAAGGAAATGCTAGAGAGAGTGTCAGGGTGTACTCTGAAAGGTTTCCAAATCGTCGTGTACCTAGCCACCCAACTTTTGCTGCTGTTGAGAGACGTCTTCGGGAGACCGGTTCCTTTGCTCCCAACACTGTTGATAATGGAAGACAACGTTTTGTAAGGATTCCTGAAGTTGAAGAAGACATTTTAGAACGTGTTGAAGAAAACCCAGAATTAAGCACCAGACGAATTGGAAGGGAACTAGGAGTAAGTAAAGATATCGTTCATAAAGTGCTTAGAGAAAAATTGCTATATCCATACCATAAGAAGCCAGTACAAGAATTATTAGTCCATGATCCTCAAATTCATTTGGGTTTTTGTCGATTTGTTAATATGCAAAGAGAAAGAGATCCAAACTTTGTCAAGAAGGTTCTCTTTACCGATAAAGCGGGTTTTACAAGAAGAGGTATAACTAATACCCATAATGAACATGTTTATGCCGTTGAATAATTGGTAATTTCATTGTTGGTTCTGTCATACTTCCACGAAGATTAACTGGAGAAAATTATTTGGATTTTCTACAAAATACGTTGCCAGAATTGTTAGAAGATTTACCTCTCCAACTTCGGAGAGATATGTGGTTTATGCAAGATGGAGCGCCACCACATTTTTCTTTAAACGTTAGAAACCACTTGAATGAACAATATCCACACAAATGGATAGGCAGAGATAATGACGCACCTGTAAACTGGCCACCACGTTCCCCAGATCTAACACCGATGGATTACTTTTTATGGGGACATCTGAAATCCACAGTTTACAGGGAACCTGTAGAAAATGAGGAACAACTCTTGCAACGTATTCAAAATGCAATAAACAATCTTAGAGGTGATGAAAAAGTTATGGAAAGGATACATTTTAATTTTCTTCGACGTATAAATCTTTGTATGAGTGAAAATGGTGAACATTTTGAACAATTTTTGTAAAATCTCTATTTTGATTATGTTGTAAATAAATATTTTTGTGAAACCTATACACTCTAAATTATTAAATCAGAAATTTAGCAAAAACCATGAGAGTAATCGAGTCTTATCAAGAGTACCTTTTTTAAAGTAAATGACTTGCGCAATCTATATTTCATACTCAAACTCCTTTTCTTCCATTGGCGTAGAATTTTTAAAGGTGCAATTATTTAAAAAATCAAGTTCTACGCCTATGTATTATTAAAGGACAAAATTTTAATACCATTTTTTTGCCACATAAAACTCTACCAATATACCAAATTTCAGCAAAATCGCATATGCCGTTTTAAATTTATATGGAAAAACGATTTAAAAATTGTAACTTCAAGGCCATCTGGAGCCCAAACGAAGCAACTTTGTACTAAGGTAATTTTACATAAATCGACTTATTTTGGTCTAAGGAATATGTGGTATGTTTTTGTAAAGACCTACAGACACCCTGTATATCAAAGTAGATGAAATAACCAACTATCATGCTACAAATCCAAGCGGGATACAATCTCATCCAAACTGCATCCAATCTCTTTAAAATGCTATCTCTCTCAAGAAAGAGCAACGTGTAAGATGAACTGTAAAGTAAAAATAAAAAACTCACTTGTATTATAGAAGTCTTGCCAACGGCTGGTGCCCCCAATAGAATAACTTTAATTCTGTCAACCGACTCTGGACTGATCTCGATCGGTGACCGTTGCTCCTGCTCCTGACTGCTCTCTTGGCATCCTGATGCTCCTGAAGTGGCATTTTGGCGTCTCTCCAGGAAATCCAGGTCCAACTCTGTAACAAAACAATGCTGATTAAATGGCTATACTCAACTAATTCTCTCATACAGGATGGTTTTATATATAATTAATTAAACTTCAATATTTGTATTTTACTACGGCTATGCTGTAAATGTCATATTCGTAGAAAACGAGTAGCGTCCCTTGCTCGTTAAAACATGCTCGCTGCGCATCGATTTTGAGGTAGGGTTGGGTAGGTTGGTGAAAATGGTTTTATTAGAAGTACTGACATATAGTGTTCATATGTATTTAATATTGTGTCATTGCATTGTCATAAAAGATGCGAATTCGCGTCGTCAGCATACAATAACCATATTTAGTACATATGCTAAAGGGGGCGAATTCGCGTCTTGCCATTCTTGTCTAAAAAAGACATTACACACATTAAAAAAAAACGATTATATATATTTAAATTAAATAGACATTTAATAAAAATTAGAAACAAAGGAGAATGGGCAGTTTTGCCACACCCCCTAGTAGGAGTAAAATATATACCAAATGAAAGATATCAGTAAGGAGAACATTATGACCTTTCTCAATTATTGGTCCATTCCAAATTATATCATAGTGCATGTGACAAAACAAATTTTTGTGTTGTTGAAAACTGTTTATATTTACTTTGGAAGTTCTTTTACTAGTAAGTTCTGATATAAATTCCACCTTGTTTGTTGTGGTAACGACTAAACAAACACCCAAATCCCGTGGTGAGAAAATGTGTAGTTTTCAAGTCATAGATGATTTAATTTAACTTTAGTTTAGCTGAAATCAGTTATGGGGAAACTGTTGCCATAGAGACGCTTGTCATCGTAACGACTAAACAAAAACCGAAATCATGTGACGAGGAAACGCGTAGTTGTCAAGTTATAGATGACTTAATTCAGCTGAAATCAGTTTCGGAAGAACTGTTAACAACTGAACAGAAACTCAAATCTCGAATTGAAAAAATGCATAGTTGTCAAGTTATAGATGATATAATTGAACTTTAGTTTAGTTTAGCTTTTTTATGCAACCCACCTACTAGCTTGCACGAAAAATACCTCATACCTCTTACTTTCATTTTATATTGATTTTAGATTGTAATAAGTAGAGCTAGGAATATATGCAAAACGTCATATTTTGCATATGTTGCATATATACATAATTTTTGATTTTGAATGCATATATTGACATTTTGTTAATTTTTTAGCATATATCTGACGTACTAATTGGCTGGACATTAAAATTATGAGTTTTGGACCAAAATAATATTTTGTGAAATGCCTTTACAGGTTGATTTCCTAAAATTTTGAAGGATTAGCTTTTCCCTGTAATAAATTACGGTTAATGGTGTAGGTACTTGAGAGGATTAAATTATAAACACCCTTCTTAAACTAACAAATTTTGCTAAATATCCTTTCAGGTAGTTGTATTAATATCTTCAAATTTCTAAATGACTCAGTTTACTTCCAACTTCATTTCAGTCTTTATTGTTGTGTTGTGTTAACCAGTGGGAAAAATTGCAAAATTAATTGAGTCGTGGGTAAAATCTTATTCAGATTTTGTTGTAGAAGGTAATAACCAGGTGTTTTGTAAAACATGTTCTAAAATTGTAAGTACTTTTTTATTTTATATTTTATTTTGACGTTTCACAATGGTAAATCAAACGACAGTAAAATATTATTTTAACTCACAGTTAAAAAAAAAGTAGGGCAACTTTACAACGTACGCATTTATTTAATTTAATTAAAACTTCAACATCTACAGGAATTTATTTGTTTTAGATTCCATGTAAAAAAATAGTTTCTAATCGACCAACACGGGAAAACACCCTCACATATAGCAAAGCAGAAATTTAAAGACACTCGCAGACAAAGTCAACTTCCCTTGAAACAATATTTAGAATCTGGATCGTGAACAAGCTATTTTTAATGAAGATTTTGCAAAGCTTTAATGACTTCGAATATCCCTTTATAATACGATTAAATAATCCAAATCTCCGATCATTTTTGCAAAAATACTGTAAATTTAATATTCCAGAGCAAAGTATATTACGCAAACGTGGTGTTGACAGTTTTTACATTGAGACTCGTAAAAAAAATCATGAGATTACCGTTGGAAACCATTTCTACATTATTGTGGATGAAACAACATACTCTTGTGGCCGATATATAGCTCATTTAATGATAGGTTCATTACGCGAAGAAATGCAAATTGGTCCATATCTAATCGCTTCAAAGCAATTAGATAAAACAAATAACTTGACAATAACTCGTTTTATCCAGACAGAATTGTCTTTCTTTTTTCTTCCGAAAGCCGTTCCAACCGAAAAATGTTTATTGCTGTTATCCGATGCTGCCCTGTACATGGTAAAAGCCGCACAAAATTTAAAAATGTTTTATGAAAACTTAATCCATTTTACATGTTTGGCTCATGGCCTTAACATAGTTGCAAAAGACATTAAATCTAACTTTCCTTTAATAAATGATTTAATTAGTAATGTAAAAAAAATATTTCTTAAAGCTCCTCTAAGAACCTGTGATTACTCGGTGGGGTACCTGGCTTAAAGCTGCCTTTTTTTACGCAGATAATTATGAAAATATTAAAGAAATCATATTTGATTTTGATGATTCATCTAAGGGAATATCTAATACAAAGAAGTTGTAACAAAATCACATATTACCAAAGCAATTAGTGTTTTTAAAAAATTATGCATTTGTACCCAAAATTATATTAGAATTAGAACAAAAAAATGTACCTTTGGTGACTTCCGTAAATTTAATTAAGACGTTTGAATCAGAGTGTAAAAATGTCCAGGGCGATATTGGAAAGACGATTTTTCATAAATTTTCAAATGTAATTTTAAAAAATGAAGGATTTATTGTTTTAAGAAACCTTGCTGATATTTATTCTGGTAACTTTGAAGATATTAATACTATTCATCCAGATATTTCAGGAAAATTTAAGTTTGCACCTATTACTTCTGTAGATGTCGAAAGGAGTTTTTCTTTGTACAAGTACATACTTACTGATAGGAGACAATCATTTAATATAAATAATTTAGAAAAACATCTAATTGTTCATTCGTTTTATAATAATGTTGATTTGTAAATAAAATTAGTTTTTTTTTTAATTTTGGTGTCATCGGCGTCGACTACTACGGCCATTAGCATCGTGTTATACGTAGGCTTTGTTACTGTTTCCCAGCGCCACTTTAGGAACAGCACTGTTAATTAGAACCCAACAGTGAATGGTCGAGTGGGGAATCCTACCAAGGCATCAGAATTAATTTTAAATAATTAAATTAAATGAAAAAATCCCGGCAAACGGTGGGATTTGATCCTGAGACCTTCCAATCTCAAAGTCATGACTCTAACGACTAAGCCAACCCACCCCCATACAATTAGTTAATAATTAAATAATTATTAAGTATTATATTAGGTATTGTAAAATAAAACAAATAATAAATATTAATAAACTATTTCGATCAAATAACAAATTACTCTTATTGCATATGCTCTGCATATTTTTCAATTTTTTACGCATATATTGAAGTATTTTGCGGCATATATATATGCGCATATTTAACTACTTTTTGGGTGCCTATATTCCTAGGTCTAGTAATAAGTAATGTTAAAATTTTTCAATGTTAATACTTTTTAGATAGAAACTTTTTCAGACACACTGTAAATTCCAAAATATTTTCGAATTGTAGCTTCAATAGATATTTATTTTCTTGTATAAAAGTAATTTTTAAAATATCATATATCATAGTCTGGACCGACGTGTATAGGATGCCCCACCCTGTATTTTTTTACAAATTGCTTTATATTCATTCTAATGTAACAGGGGTGATAATATTTATGACTAAATTATTATATTTGTCCATTACCTTGGTTTTGGACCATTGGACCTGGTCCTTTGGAGCCCTGTAACCAACAAGTAGAGGCCCGTTGGCAAGGGATACACGTGGTGGATAAAATTCTCGACTGCATCACATGCTATACCCAGATATTATTATAAATGTTTTTATATTAATAATAAGTAATAATGACTATTATTTGCCTGCAATAAGTACTACAATATCAGAATATAATCACTGGCCTATCGTACAATTAGTTATATTTAGGATGAAATGAAATGAGTCGTGATGAAATGAAATGAGTCGTAATGAAAAGAAATGTTCTCCTTAAAAAGATATTTTTATTGACCTATGACTCATCCTTATTGGGGATGGGGCAATTTCCCACAAATTTCTGCTCATTGTCCTTCTGACATGTAATTACAACATTAAAGGTAATTGAGTTAAAATAAAGAATAATTTTAACGATACTAAAATAACAGAATGAGTTAAAAAATAAACTAAATATGCTTCACTTAATTTCTCTTTATTTTTAACTCTATATTTTTGCCGTTTATCTTTTATTTTACTATAACGTCAACACTAAAAATATATCAGACACACTGAAAACGGCGCGAAATATCGCAGTTTTTCAATTCATCACTTAGTGCTGTCACTGTTGTAAATACCTACTTTCAGTGCTGGATAAGTTACATAAATTAGAAGCGCACTAGAGACAAGCATCACAAGGACGTGAATTCGCGTACTCAGCAGCGAATGTGTTAAATAAGATAATACGAGTATTCCAGTCTACTTCCAACTTGAAGGAGAAAATATTTATTTTTTGTGTAAAGAAAACTTTCTAAAAACTAATTTTTAAAAAGAAAATTTGAAAAAATCTAATTTATTCCGCGCATTAATATTTCCGTAGGAAGCGTGGCAAGCTTTGCAGAAGTTTGTATTCATGATCAATTCTGAAGCTTATTTCCGTTTAAATTTAAAGTTTTTCCGTACCCTAGATACTTAACTGCTCGGAGATTTTCTCGAGCTAAGTGTGATCTCATAATATAAGTTTTAAATGAAAATATAAGAAAGTCGGTTTGATTTTTATACTTTTAAAATTTACTTTAATACATTATTTATTTTATCGATATGTGTTTTTTGATATCCAGTTTCTATTTAGTGTCTTCCTTTTACGAAAACTAATAACGAAATTGGCGACTAATGTGGGGCAAAAAATTATGTATTGTGTACTCAAAGTGCAATAAAGAGGTACCAGATTTTCTAGAGGTACATATAATGATTTTAAAGTGATTTAATGAAAACGCAATAGTAGGTAACATGAATACGTTTAAAATAAAGAAAGATTTTCTTGTTGTTTGTCGTAGCATATAAATTTTTCAAAACGTTCTCCATTGCCTTCTTGGGAAAACCCCTATGGAGAAAACTCCTGTTTAATATTCTGTAAACTTATAGAAAATATTTTGTTTATTTCTCACCAAAAGTAGTTTTTACTTTAAACTGTTTTAGAGTTTCTTCTAAAGTTTGCCTTGTTATTCTCTGGCAATATTTTTGGTCGGACGTTGTTTGCATTCTTTCTAACATCATTTGCACTTAATGTTTTTAATAATAATAATATTTATTTATAAAAAAAAAACAATTATAACGATAAGTAGAACATATTAAATAAATATAAATGATCACTGAAGCTGTGAAAACAGAGCTTGTATGCGATATTGAACAATAAAAAAATATATTAAATTATTTATTAAGCCTAATGAATTATTATATTTTACATAGATGAAAGAATGTCAAATCAAAGAAAAGGTCTTTACAAAAACATACCACATATTCCTTAGACCAAAATAAGTCGACTTAAGTAAAATTACCTTTGTACAAAGTTGCTTCGTTTGGGCTCCAGAGGGCCTTGAAGTTACAATTTTTAAATCGTTTTTCCCATATAAATTTAAAACGGCATATGCGATTTTGCTGAAATTTAGTATATTGGTAGAGTTTTATGTGAAAAAAAAATTGGTATTAACATTTTGTCCGATAATAATACATAGGCGTAGAACTTGATTTTTTAATAATTGCACCTTTAAAAATTCTACGCCAATGGAAGAAAAGAAGTTTGAGTATGAAATTTAGATTTCGCAACTCATTTACTTTAAAAAAGGTACTCTTGATAAGACTCGATTACTCTCATGGTTTTCGCTAAATTTCTGTTTTAATAATTTAGAGTGTATAGGTTTCACAAAAACATTTATTTACAACAATCAAAATAGAGATTTTACAAAAATTGTTCAAAATATTCACCATTTTCACGCATGCAAAGATTTATACGTCGAAGAAAATTAAAATGTATCCTTTCCATAACTTCTTTATCACCTCTAAGATTGTTTATTGCATCTTGAATACGTTGCCAGAGTTGTTTCTCATTTTCTACAGGTTCCCTGTAAACTGTGGATTTCAGATGTCCCCATAAAAAGTAATCCATCGGTGTTAGGTCTGGGGAACGTGGTGGCCAGTTTACAGGAGCGTCATTACCTCTGCCTATCCATTTGTGTGGATATTGTTCATTCAAGTGGTTTCTAACGTTTAAAGAAAAATGCATAAACCACATATCTCTCCGAAGTTGGAGAGGTAAATCTTCTAACAATTCTGGCAACGTATTTTGTAGAAAATCCAAATAATTTTCTCCAGTTAATCTTCGTGGAAGTATGACAGGACCAACAATGAAATTACCAATTATTCCAGCCCACACATTAATTTTGAATTCGTGCTGAAAATGATTTACCTTTATTGCATGCGGATTTTCAACGGCATAAACATGTGCATTATGGCTATTAGTTATACCTCTTCTTGTAAAACCCGCTTCATCGGTAAAGAGAACCTTCTTGACAAAGTTTGGATCTCTTTCTCTTTGCATATTAACAAATCGACAAAAACCCAAACGAATTTGAGGATCATGGACTAATAATTCTTGTACTGGCTTCTTATGGTATGGATATAGCAATTGTTCTCTAAGCACTTTATGAACGACATCTTTACTTACTCCTAGTTCCCTTCCAATTCGTCTGGTGCTTAATTCTGGATCTTCTTCAACACGTTCTAAAATGTCTTCTTCAACTTCAGGAATCCTTACAAAACGTTCTCTTCCATTATCAACAGTGTTGGGAGCAAAGGAACCGGTCTTCCGAAGACGTTTCTCAACAGCAGCAAAAGTTGGGTGGCAAAGTTTGTATTTTAATAATTATTGTTTATGTTCTAAAATTACTAAAATGCAAATTTCGTCAAAACCATTAGAGTAATCGAGTCTTATCAAAAGTACCTTTTTTAAAGTAAATGAGTTGCGCAATCTAAATTTCATACTTAAACTCCTTTTCTTCCATTGGCGTAGAATTTTTAAAGGTGCAATTATTTAAAAAATCAAGTTCTACGCCTATGTATTATTATCGGACAAAATTTTAATACCATTTTTTTGCCACATAAAACTCTACCAACATACCAAATTTCAGCAAAATCGCATATGCCGTTTTAAATTTATATGGAAAAACGATTTAAAAATTTTAACTTCAAGGCCCTCTGGAGCCCAAACGAAGCAACTTTGTACTAAGGTAATTTTACTTAAATCGACTTATTTTGGTCTAAGGAATATGTGGTATGTTTTTGTAAAGACCTTTTACAGAAAAGTATAGGTATTTTTGTAAAATGTCATATTTCAGAGTGATTATTCTCAAATTTGGGTAAAGAGTCTTAATTAGGTAAGTAAAGGGTAATAAATCAGGAAGGAGTGTGATAAAAAGTTTATAGGTAGGTTTTTTAAAGGTTATTAATTCTCGGTAGATATACGTACGTGTAAATTTATTACAAGAATTGTACATTTTTCATATTATTGATTTATTACATCGTTAATGTTTTTCCTAAGTTGATTATAGATCCAATAGATGTCAGTAATATACTATTTTTAATTTTTATTAGTATTATAGATTCTTGGTGCCAAATATGAATATGATCTGCAACCCGAACACTTAATGTTTTTAAAACATTACTGATTTATTTTTTTTTTATATTTTTTTGGCATCCCTCTGGTCTCCTCTGAGGAGTTCCAGCAGACTCTTCATAATCGGGCTTAGGTCCAGCTACTGGTTCCCCTCAATCAGGCTTTGTGTTCAGCCTGCTTTGCCTACTCTTATTGTTGGCTTATTGTGCCACCATTTGGATGCCGTACTCTTTCTCATTCATCATATATTTATTCATCATCATTCATTTCACGCTTTATAATATTATTTACTGATTTTAGTCATTATGAGTTGAAGAATACAGTGGCGTTCCATTTCGTACGCTTAATACAATTACAAATAACTCTAAAAAATGTTTGCGCATTATTTGAATTTTTTAAATTTCTCGCAGGCCGGATTAAAGCTAGTGGAGGGCCGGATCCGGCCCAGGGGCTGCCACATATGATCGAGTCAATAGTCATTGTCAATGTTAGTTGAAGTTAAAAGACGAAATGAAGTGATATATTTTAGTTTCACTGTGTTTGGGTAATCTTTTACCAGCCGATTTGGAATTATGCATTAAACTAATAAAATTGATTTGGATATTTTTGTTTGAGCAGCTGAACTGCGTAATTTTTTGGATATTCATTTGGATAATCAGGAACAGTGAGGTATTTATCTAATAAATATTAAACAGCTTTCAGCTGAATTCTACTCAAGAATAACCCGAGTTACGAGCTGAATTTGTTTGTTTACTATTTATTCAGAGATCACAGGGATCAGGTCCTGTAAGCGTGCTAGAATTAGAATATACCATTGGGTAACGGGGTATATTTGTAAATATAGGTGTACTAGAACGGTATGAGCTCATACGTTATATGTTAAGTCTTATTATTATTTTAGAGTTAAGTCATTTGGGTATCCTAGTTGAAGTATTTTAAGCTAATCATTTTCTGAGGGTTTAAACCATGTGAGGTTATGTAGTTTATAACTATTTATGTAATAAAATTTAGTGTTTGGAAGCACTTCGAATAACGATTGTACATATTTCGATTAATTATTAATATATTGAATTTGAATTAAGGAAGAGCCAAATAGAATGTATAGTTTTATTTAAGCATGTTTGACTAGTGGTATTTTATTCGACCTTCATCCTGTGTATAGTCAATTTGTTATTTTGGTGGCTGGTTTTTAGCAGGGGAGGTATTCCGTAGCAAAATTATGCTGACGCCTTTTTAAGAACCTGTAATTATCAAACCACACCACCTCCGACTAGAGCTATCTGCGGTTAATACCGCAATTGTCTCTAGGGCAATTCTATACCACCTCGTAACATTCTATTCGTTGGATAATTCTATTAGTTAAATGAAGCCTGGAATTTTATGTTACAATGGGTTTGTTAATAGACAGAACTGCTGCATCTACTAAACGATAGTCGAGAAACCTACTGATCCCAAGGTTTTTGGGTCGACCTTACTTTTTTGAAAAGGTACTGTAATTATAGTCAATGAGGATCGCTACCGTAAAATCCTAACTAATGGCCGGCATACACGTTATGGTCTACCGGAGATGTCTACCTGTGCAGGTGGCCTGCTTAGTTCGACCAAATGTACATAGCAGGTTTAAAAAACTGCATAGCCTATTCCAATACACGTTACGGTCTATATGTGCAGGCACACCTGCACAGGCAGGCCTTTCCGGTAATGTTTCTTTTAAAAATAAAATGAATCTTCTTATTTAAAAACTCTTTAAATGAACGAATACAACAAATCAATAAATCCAAAAGAAAAACAGAACACGGTAAACATATTTAATATTGTAGAAGCTTTCGCTTTGCCAGGCAGTGTGTTTTCATAGCACTTCATCGATTTCAATTTCATTTGAAATGCAAGAAACACTAGACTTGCCATTCTCTTGTGATCCAATAATATTCTTTGAGGCTACTTTATTATAGTAAACGTTAAAAAGGTATATTCGCATGAAGCAGTCGATGATTTGGCACTAATTTAAAAATAATCTCTGAACGCTTCCCTTGTTTTTGGCAAAAAAAATTCCAATTGGCAATATCGTCATGAATTCCTCAACTTGAAGAAAGTCTAACTGCTACATCTTCTTAATATAACTGTGTTAATGAATGATTTTTTTCTTGTCTAATTTCCCTATTAAGTCGTGGCTTTTGTTTATCGAAATTTATAAAATATTTATCAATTACACAACTCATAATAAGATGAGGGACGGTAATACAAGAGAGCAATAATGGGATATTGGTAGTTTAAACTTGGCAAGTAGCCAGTTTTGCCGTGAATAATGAGACTTTCAAGCGTGTGCTGTAATTTGCAATATCTACTGGCTATTTTTAAGGTAGGGCATTGGCATTTTAAAGTAGGGCATTGCTCCTATGTGCCCCCTCTGGCTACAGTCCTGCTGGGACACTCAAAAGAGTCTACCCTGTTATTTTGTCAAAAAAAGAAAAAAAAGGAAAATCCAAACCTTTCGACCCAGAGGAACCTCTGACTACCAAAACAGAGGACAATATCCCAGTAGCATCCACCTCAAATGCTAGTAAACCGCCTAATAAGACAGACAACACTAATTATTAGAGGAAAC